TGACCCTTGGGGTCCTTCCGGAAGGCTACCCCCCAGGCTGGTGGTGCGCACGTTCCACTATTTATTTATTTCCTTGTTTCTGATTCTTTTGTTTTCTTGTTTTTTATCGCTCTGCTAACCCTTGGGGTCCATTTTGTTTTGGTATACCTTTTCTAGGTACGTTAGCCTGTGACCACGGAAATTGNCAGGCTGGTGGTGCGCACGTTCCACTATTTATTTATTTCCTTGTTTCTGATTCTTTTGTTTTCTTGTTTTTTATCGCTCTGCTAACCCTTGGGGTCCATTTTGTTTTGGTATACCTTTTCTAGGTACGTTAGCCTGTGACCACGGAAATTGACCGAGTCACGTGCTGGATTAGTACGGAGAGATTGAGACAGAAGGAGGTACTGGATAGAGAGACCGGGATAGTTTTAATGTGAAGACAAGAACAACAACAACAACATTCAGCAATATGCCAAATATATGCCTGTGCCCCAGCCATATTTAAAACTCAGCCGATCACGAAAAAACTGCGGACCGCGGTCTCCCACAAGGGACTGTAGGCTTGGGACGAGATCTCCGGTGTCGTAAGGTGCTGTCTCCTTTCCACCCACACACTGGCACGAAGGCCCTCGGTGCAGCCTTGCTGCTGCTACACGTTTTGATCGCCAGAGCTCTGCCTGCTGCGGCCGACGCAAGATCAACCATGCTGACCCGTGACCCGCGGAAAAGAAAGTTAGCTGTCTTGATGTATCAGCCGAAGAAAAGCACCAACTTCTCCACCGCCGCAGCTCTCAGCGATGACGACGACGTAGAGGACGAAGAGGAAGAACGATCAAGACGTACAAGCAACAGAACCCAGTTCGAAGCTTCCACCGCGGCGGCGATGATGCGCCCGCCTGCTGTGGTGGACAGTCGTGATGCTGACGAGTTGGAGGAGGATATGCGTAGGGGTCTAACCTATCGGCATACTCTGAAGAAGCTCGGACCCCTACTCCCTCGCATTGGCAGGGGTAACAGCGCCGCGAACGACACTGCCAGTCGCGCACGTCTGCCCCTTCAGGTTCCCTAGCGAGGAGGGTGGGATCTATGATGCCCACAGTAGCAGCCAGATTCGTTACAAAACAGGGATGGAGAAGGACGAGTTCGACGCCTTTTACGAAGACACGTTCCTGGATGCTGAGGGAAACCGTCTCGCCCGCTCATGGCTGTTTGGGCAAGCTCGGAACCACCTCGGAAACTACTCGGCGGAGGACAACAAGGCCAGGCGGGTCATCCGGGGGAGCATGGATGACAGAGACCGAGTTTTGTGCTGGCTGGAGATGCTCAGGAGGGACACTTGTTTCGAGGACATGGCCCTCGCATATGGACGGTGTGCTGGGACGTATCACAACGAGTTCAAGGACACGACGGCGGCCGCGCAGAACATGCCTTGTCTGCAAGAGGTGTGAGTGCATGCGTTGATTTGCAGTTGTATTCTACAAAACACAAACTTGACTCATGATACGCTGAGAATTCGGAGTGGGAAGCGATATTTGGCATGACTCGAGGGAAGACATTCAGGATTAGAGCCATGCGTCTACCTCGTGTTACTGCAGAACCGTCAGCGGAAACAGGCCGACGCTCGACACCAGCACTAGCCCGTCACGAGCCCACCGCAATGTCTAGGGAATCCCTTTATCTGACGCGTACACGCTCCCTGTCAACGCGTGAAGGAGTTGTGTAAGGAGAGTCTGCTGTGCGCGATAAGTTCACACTGTATTTCAACATGAAGTTGACTCATAGGTTCTGTTCGCTTCCATGGTCGTGTGGTACAGGAGATCCAGTGGCCTGACGCAGCGGAGCGGGCAGCTCATTGCACTTTCCTTCAAACCTGGGGTCACCCGGATTTCCCTCGTGTAGCTTACATCGCCGACGGCACCATGGTGAACATGCGGAACCCTGCCAAGGTAGGACTTAAAAGGCTAGCACCTACGTTGGTTGCTGATGTGTGACATGCATACAGTGGGTAAAACCTTTCTTAGTGTTTTTGGCAGGGTATCTCGAAAGAATGAATATGCATTAGCCCGTGCGAATTGTCTGTCTGTGCGACGTTGGTTTGTCCAGACCTGTGCTGGTTGCGATGGGCTCTGTTGGTAGGCCGCTCTCCCCCCTCTTTACCCTATGCTACCGTTTGAACTATTCGCCTTTCGTGCGCATGCGGAACATTTGTTTCACACTCCCTCGCCCGCCGCTTGAATCCCGTGCAGGTCGGCAAGGGACAACCAGAGCCTCACGCCCCGGTGCATCAGGCGAACTACTCCGGTAACAAGGGCCTTGGAACTAGCCATATCGTCTACTGCAACGTCAGGGGCAAACCGATACGGGTGCGTCGTATACTTTGATCGGAGTCCCAAATGCTAAGTCGTATTGAGGAGCTCACTCGAGTTGCGACCCTCGCTCCACCAGGACCACTCTGTTGTCAATCGCTCAAAAAAATCTACTGGAGTAGACGTGCTTCAGTCAGTGTGGTGTGTTGTGAGACCGTAACGTTATTCCAGTGCGCTTGGACATGCACGTCGGAATTCCGCGGCGCATGTTGAAGTGCTAACAAAAAGTTAGTCGGAATGGGGGGTGGGGGG